AAGGCTGAAGCGGAAGGATCACTGGAGCCCAGCAGGCGAGGCTGTGGTGGCCGGAAGCGGCCACTGCACTCCAGTCTGGGCGACAGAGTGAGACTCCAACTCAAAAAAAAAAAAAAGTGCTTTGTAGTAAAGCGCTGGTCCCATGTGGTTATGCTACCTTGCCATGGGGAAGGGACTGTGGCAGGTGCTGAAAAAGGTGGAAGACTGATTTCCAAGCCCATCAAGCTAAACAGTAATATAAGCATCATTCCTGACCACAGTTAAACTATCTTGATGCTATCCATCAAGCTTGCAGTTTGCTGGAGTAAAAATTGCTAAAAAATGTATACCGTTCTTTTCATAAAACATGATGGGCATGGACCACACAGATTTGATTCCAGTGTAATGGGCTCTTATGGTCCTGGGCACAGAAGTCCCTGTACACATGACAGTCACTGAGCAGAAATGTTCTATAGGAGGAACGGAGGTGGAGAGGCAGAGATGAGAAGAGAGGTGATCTCAACCTATCCCAATAACTACTTTCCAATTTCTAAGAGCACTGTAACTCCTCAGAAACTATTTTTAAGGCTCAAATTTTTCATAACATCTACCATTTCTTAAAGTAGGGTTGCAAAGCAGCTGTCTCTAGCCCCTGGAGGTCTTTAACATTCTAAAAATCACTATATAAACACACTTGAAGACGGCTTGCCATTTGTAATCTCCTGTCTCTCTATTAATTTATATCTGGCCCACTTCTAGTTTCAAGCCCCATCTCTTGAGTTTATAGACCTAAACATGAATTAAGTATCTTCCCAATACAGTGGTCAAACCATACATGATCTTTTATCCTTATTGAGCTAAGACTCCGACAGAAGAGTTTTGTCAAAAAGCTACCCATTCTAAAGTCTCTACATACCTGGAGGTTAAGCACATTCTACCTCTTGGAATTTAAGTGCCAAAGTGATTTGGCCTAGTCGACCATATTTAGTGAAGCATATTAGGAAGGGAATGCGTCTATAGCCGTTCTCCATGGACACATGGAATTGAATCTTAATTCAATGTGCTGGTGGAGGTAAATTCATGGGGGACCTTAAAAATCCAGAGCTTATGTATTTTAAAAAGTGTATTCATTCTTACATGTTTAAACTTCAGTCACCTTTAAAGTACTCTCTGCTTCATGCAATACACCTATCGAGCCACTTTTTCCACTGCTCAAAACAGTTTCTGAATTCATTAATTTTTTCATCTACTTCTTTTTTTTTTGAGTTGGAGTCTTACTTTATCACCCAGGTTGGAGTGTAGAGGCACACTCACAGCCACTGCAGCCTCGGCCTGCTGGACTCAAGTGATCCTTCCACCTCAGTCTTCCAAGTAGCTGGAACTACAGGCACTTGTTACCACGCCCGGTTAGTTTTTTGATATATTTTAGAGAAGAGGTCTCACCAAGTTGCCCAGGATGGTCTTGGACCCCTGGGCTCAGGCAATCCTCTTGCCTTGGCCTCCTAAAGTGCTGGGATGACGGGCTTGAGTCACTGCACCTGACCCTGAATTCATTATTTTTCATGCCTTTTAGCGATTCTATTTTTTGTTTCACCTCCTCCATATTGGCAAAATGTTTCCCCTCGAGGACTTTTTTCATCTGGGGAAACAAATAGCAGTCTTTTGGGCAAGATCAGGTGACCAGGGAGGGTGGGGGGCACAGGGAGTTATGTAATTTTGGGTCAAAAACTGCTGAACATTCAATGTAGCACGGGCAGATGCCCTTGTAAATCACCCATCTAGAAATGGACAAATGCTTGAGAGAATCTTCAAAAGAAATTTCACTGAAGCTGAACATAGCCTCTTACAACAATGCTAGCTGGTACACTGATGCCACTTGGTTCCTAGAAAACTTACCTAGTAGGAAAACCTGAACTCCAAGGGACCCACCCTCCAAAAAATAATTTTGTTTTTTGTGGGTGCTCCTTGTAAGCGAGTGGAGTAAGGACAAACAGTTTACATCCAAACTACAGAGGTAGCCCAATATTCCCCTTACATTGGCTAAGAAATGGGTGATGACACTTCAAACAAAAGTATTCATTCTTAAAACCCATGCTTGTCCTGCCTTCTACCTAAGAAGTCAGTTTTGCCTTAAAGACATTGTTTACAGTTAGGGTGTTTCTTACTGGCTTATGCATGATTCCACTTACTCATAACCAAACATTAGCATGAATAGTGTATGGTATTTTCAGGGAAAAAAAGGTCCCCCCCCTAAGTCTATCTATCAACATTCTAACATGCCAAGCCTCCTCTGTCCATGAATAGTTGAGAACAGATACATCGTTGAACACATTAAAAGACAAAGAGATGCAAAAACTAAAGGTTCATGTTTCAGTTTTAATGCTGAGCAGCACTGCATGAGTTTGCAATAATGTAAATTGTGCTTGATGGATTATTTTAAAATTAAAACCGGAACCAGTGTTACCGCATGCTATTTTTCTATTTACAATGTTCCAATGTAGAATTCACTTAGTGTTTAATAACTCACCATAATGCAAAAACACCACGAGATTATACAAGGCAAAATTTTTATTCTTCTAAATTTAGTCCTTAAGAGAAAAAAAATTCAATAAATGGATCCCATTTCTAGTACTGTGCTCTGTTTTGGTACAGGGAACAAACTAATGAGAGGTAAAATTGTTGCCAGTAGAACAAAAGGCAACTGTGAACAGTTGAGTGATTCAGGAATATTTACAATAATGTACAGGTAAAATTATTCAAATGTCTCTGTAGATTTAACCTGTAGTACCCCATTCTTCTTATTATCCATCATTTTGATTGTAGTTGCTTTTTAATTGTCACCTCCACCCAACTATAAGCTCCAGGAGGTACAGGGACCCTGTTTGTCTTGCCTACTTTTGTATCTACTGTATCCATCAGAGTCTGACAAAAAGCAGAAGCTTAATATTGTTTCAGGACTGAATAAACGAGTAAGATTTATTGATACATGATTGTGTGGGACCAGACAACTAAAATCAACTACAATGTAGATTTTGCCTCAGTATTAGGCTGAACATTTTCTTTTTTTTTTTCTTGAGTTGGAGTTTCACTCTATCACCCAGGCTGGAGTGCAGTGGCACACTCACGGCCACCCCAGCATCTACCTGCTGGTCTCCGGCGATCCTTCTACCTCAGCCTTCCAAGTAACTGGAACTACAGTCCCATGCTACCACGCCCAGCAAAGTTTTTGATTTATTGTGGAGATGAGGTCTCGCCAAGTTGCCCGAGCTGGTCTCGAACCCACGGGCTCAGGCAATCCACTCACCTTGGCCTCCCAAAGTGCTGGATGACAGGCTGATCCATGGAGCCCAGTCAGGCTGAACATTTTCTAACAGTCAGGACCATTCCAAGCTGAGTATGGCTGATGACAGGTTTAAGTAGACAGATGAAGATGACTGTAGCCAACAGGATTCACACTCCCGATCCTGAGTTGGACCTTATGATTTTGAAGATGCTTGTCAACCCTGAGGCTCTAGGCTTATAAAATAGACCTTTCCCAAGCCTGCGGCATAATTTAAATTGAACTCATCAAGACTTTTTTTCCATGTTGGAATTTGTAGACACATGTTCAAGCCAAAAGAAGAGATTTCATTTAGCTTTAATTGCTCTATCTATTTGATTTCCATGTATCTTCTGTTTGGCTGCACAGTTACTTTGCTTCATGAATCCAAGATAATTTAGTGTCTGCTTTACTAGAAACTATTTCCCTTTTTCTATTTACTAAGCTCTCTTTCAAAATGCATGGTCCAAGTTGACTTAATGGATCCAAAATGGTATTTCTTTTTTTTTTTTTTTTTTTTTTTTG